TGTTACATAATATTTGTATTAGACTCATATTAGATTATAGATTGAGAATTACTATCAGATCAATTAAAATAACCACGATTTAAATTATCTAATTTACTCGATTGCAATTCTCAATGTATAGTATAATATGGGCGCTATAATACCTTAAAAAAGATACGATACTGAGACTTTCACTCAAACAGGGAGCTCTACGTCATCTCACGCATGCGCTGTAGCGTCGCAATATATTGCACCTGACAGCACTGCCTCCCGAATAACATGTAAAAAGTTTTAGTCCGTGCTTACTGTTCGTTAAAAAGTTACTAACAAATGAAGTTAGTGATAAGAGTTTGCACCGAGCATATGTATACACACACACACACACACACACACACACACACACACACACGCACACGCACACGCACACGCACACGCACACACACCGAAGGGGACGTGCGGGGGGGCCTTCGGCCCCCCACCCGCCCCCCTCGAGGGGTTAACGGGTGAGGCTTAACGGGTGAAACTCGCTTCACGTGGAAAGTCGCAATAAGTCGCAAACTCACATGTGCCTTTCCATATGAAGCGAGTTTCACCTGTTGACCCTCGAGGGGGGTGCGGGTGGGGGGCCGAAACCCCCCCTGCACGTCCCCTTCGGTGTGTGTGTGTATGTACATATGCTTGGTAAATATGTTGGTTGCATACTTTTCGGGCTCCCCCGATTCATTATTACTTTTGGAGTCACAACAAAAATTTTTACCACAATAGCAACAAAAAAATCTCAAAATTCGAAAAAGTACCTATTCTGCATAATTACCCTTTCTAGTATTGGCGTTAAAAACTCGAGACGAAACGTATGTAGTACATTATTGTTTGGTTACATCGTAAGATTATAAGAATAATTATTAAGCGTTTCAATTAATTTTAAAGATTGATGATGAATAAATTACTTCCAAAGATAAGTCTGGTATTTATCATGGAATCCATTTACTGTTGGAAAAATGGAAAAACATACGTGTTGTAGCACACACATAAGCGGTAGAAAATATTTTATTTGAAAAAAATTAAATAAAAAATAATAATAATCCATTCATCGTCAACTCTCAAAATTAACTATAAAAATACATATGTAATGAACATGAGAAAGAAATTACTATATCATAAACAAAAATTTTATTAAAAAATATAAAAACTTTTCAAGATCATACGATTTATTAGAAAATATTTATATACATAAATAACTATATTAATTCTCCACAAGCAGTTATAACAATTTTTTGCATTGGTGTGCCTGCTTTTGTACCACATTTTTCAACCTTTTTGACCACGTCTAATCCACTAAGGACATGCCCAAAAACAACATGTTTTCCGTCCAACCAATCCGTTCGGGCTGTACACAGAAAAAATTGTGATCCATTTGTATTTGGGCCAGAGTTGGCCATTGACAGTGTACCTGGACCTGTGTGTTTGAGTTCAAAATTTTCGTCATCAAATTTGTTGCCATAAATTGATTTACCACCTGTACCATTGTGATTTGTAAAATCACCTCCTTGGCACATCTATCATATTATCATAAGTTAAGGATTTTATTTTATTGCTCATCTTGAAATTAAATATAAAAACAAGTAAAACTACTTTTAAAATGTCTTTGAAAATTTGATCTAATAACAAATATTTAAAAGCAAGCCACAGCTATTTTACTAAATTTTCTTCATATTAAATGTGCGATATTGTAAAAGTTTTCACACAATAAAAGTACTTATTTATTATTTTAATATCCTCTTAATACATCCATAATGCTTAATTTTTGTATTTCTTATTGAACGACGCGACATGAGGATATTTGACTAATGCTTAAAAGGAAATATATGGAAGTGTCCATCTCCGATTTTGATGAGTTTGAAATATATTGTAATATAATATAATCAAAATAAAAGGATACATATTTTTTTTATATTAGGTTGTTCGGAAAGTTCGTTTTAAATTTTCTATATAAATTCAGGACATAATATTCTATTCAGAGTAACTTTATTGAAGCAAATATATATCGTTTTGTTCAATGACCTTGGCTCATCTCTTATGTAGTGATGCCCTTGCTCCGGAATGAAGGTTGCTGGCGAAAAATTGATCGAGGTGAATATTTAGGGCTTCCGAAAACTCGAATTTTTTGTTCCGAAGAAAATTTTTCACAGAGAGAAATAGATAGTAGCCAATCATATACAGGGTGTTTGATAGCTGATCATGCAGACGAAAGTTGGAGATAGATTGGGTGTAGCCGAAAAGAAAAGTCATGTACCATAATGTCAAATTGGCAATAGTTATCGAGTTATTAATTAAAACATGTGAGCCAACGAGCGCGTAGAGAGCGGAGGGCAGCCGCAGTAAGCACGTAGACATTTGATACAGGCGGAGTCAGCGAGTTGCGGTGTAGGCAAGCGCGCGCGGCGAGGGGCAACGTAAGCGACAAGAGGCGATCGCGCGCGGCGAGGAGCGAGCGAGCGAGCTTTTTCTTTATAGCTCACTCGCTCCTTGTCGTTCGCGCTCGCTTGCTCTTCGTCGCACTCGCTCGCCTCTTGTCGCTTGCGCTCGCTCGCTCCTCGTCGTTCGCGCTCGCTCACTCCTCGTCGCGCGCGTTCGCCTCTTGTTTACGTTGCCCCTCGCCGCGCACGCTCGCCTATCGCCACTCGCTGACTCCGCCTGTATCAAATGTCTACGTGCTTACTGCGGCCGCCCTCCGCTCTCTACGCACCCGTTGGCTCACATGTTTTAATTCATAACTCGGTAACTATTGCCAATTTGATATTATAGTACATGACTTTTCTTCTCGGCTACACCCAATCGATCTCCAACTTTCGTCTGCATGATCAGCTATCAAACACCCTGTATAATGTCATTTTCAGACATGTGAACTTTTTGAAAAATAGGGTGAAAATATCTCTTTATATCTGTAACGCTATCCATAGTCATCTACTTTGCTCGATATGTACACGTAACATCTTTTCGAAATTTTTCATAGTTCTCTCCCAAGAAATTCTTATATTACTATTTATATATAGTATGTATACTTCCACATTATGCCTATTCATGATTTGAGTTGCGTAAACGTGACTCTGACAATATAATTTCTTGCACTTTATATCTCACATGACAGTTCTAATTACGATGTGGTTTATTATTAAGAATCTTGAAACGTTTTTTAAAGTTTGTATCTATCTCTTATGCGCTTTTGACGATGCATGTTTCGAAAAAGATACTGATTTTTTCCGAAGGAATACTTCACCTCCTACAAAACCAATTCGGCACGTATAAAAAAGTACGTATTCTTTGTTTTGGTCTAAATTATAATATACTTGAAATTCATCAAAATCGAAAGAAGACACTTCCATGTGCGTGTGTTTCTTTGTTAATAAAAAGCTTTTTAATTAAAGAAATAATTCCTGAATATTCGCTATAGTCATATTGGATAGTGAGTCAGAAGCAAGAAATGACACACTGAAAATTTTCACGTGTCATTTCCAGATAAAAGGATGTTTATATGAAAGAATATTTTAGGGGCCGCTAGAACATATACAGGGTGAGGGGTTATAAGTTTACAACCCGAAGTGTGAGGGTAGATTGGGTTAAGATAAACAAAAGTCCTATACCGTTTTACGAGATTCGCAATAATTATCGAATTATTAATGACAGAAATCTGAGGAATGGGAGCGCTCCGACATAGATGATTGGAGAAGCGTTGCAGCTACTCAGGCTACAGCGCGGCCCACCAACTAAGCAACTGTTGGCGGCGTGCGGCGAGACGTAGGTCCGACGAGATAAAACAACGAATAGCGGCGTATTGTCTTTCCCCTTGCCTTGCACCGGCAACAGTTGCTGGATCGACTGGACCGCGCTGCGGCCTAAGTAGCTGCAATGCTTCTCCAATTATCTATGCCGGCGCGCTCCCACTCCTCATATTTCTGTCATTAATAACTCGATAATTATTGCGAATCTCGCAAAACGGTATAGGACTTTTATGTTTGTCTTAACCCAATCTACCTTCACACTTCGGGTTGTAAACTTATAACCCCCCACCCTGTATATGCCTAATCATTTCATATGACCAATTTCATGTTATATTCATTATAGTCATTTTACGACTGTTGATTGACTTTCAAGGGAGAAGCATTTTATATTTATATAAATATGTTAATGAATGACATACTTACATATATATCTATGTAAGTATATGCACAAGTATGTCTTGAAACTTGAAGTATTCTTTCAGATAATAAATATATTTCTATCAGAAAAAGGTATGCAAAAACTTTGAGCATATATTTTCTTGCTTCTGATGCTATCAATCAAGAGTACCATGGCGAGATCATGTCTTAAAGGTAAGTCTTAAAGGTAATCTTAAAGGTAAAGGAAAGATAAAGGTAAAGATAAAGATGATTGACAGATTCAATAATATTGTGTGTATATGTGTATGTATGAAGAAGGATACAAAATCTGGAATAATTCTGTGAAAGGTGCTACCCTGATATCCGTATCCTTTCTCATGTGTGCATAGAGCCCGAAAATTCTCTGCAGTTTTTGGCACAATGTCTGCTCGTAACATCATGATAATTCTACCTACTTCTTGCTTCCCTATACTTATGTCGAAATAAACTTGCGGATTCTGTTTTGTTTTCTTCTGAGTCTGTGTAACATCATTTGTCTTTGTATTATCATCATTTTTCAAAGTTTCACCTGCATGTTCTTGTAACCAAGCATCATCTGCCCAAACTGGTTTTGATGAACCTTCTTTTATCTTTTGAGGCTTAGCAATATTCACCCTTATTGTTCGACCAAACAATTCTGAATCATTCTGTAAATCAATATAAAAATATTTCTGATAAATTACATACACACAAATAAGATATTATGTTGATTTACCATTTTATATTTATTAAATTCCAAAGATTAAACAAATATAAGTATTTGTCAATAAACTTCAGGTAATCTACTTTTAGCAAAGTTAATTAATAAATATATACTTATATATGTATATATGATATAAATTAAAAATGTATATAAATAAGATATAAATTAAATAGATGGTTAAATTTCAAGAATATATTCTATTTATCTTATGCAAGATATACTTTTTGTTACAGAAAGAAATAACTCCCAACAATTAATATAATAAAATATTATTTATTCTTCTATTATATTTTTACAACAATCTTATATAAATAAAAACAATTATATTTTATAAAAGCAAGAATTTAATTTTTTAGTTCCATGTCTATATAATATTGTTTACTCTTAAGATGAATAAAATATATTCTCAAAGTTTAACTATCTATTTCTTTTAATCCTATGTATATAATTTTCATGTATATGAAAGAATAACATTTATTGCTAATAATCTAATAAAATTAAATTATGATGAAATTTAGAAACTTTGACATCAAAAATTATTAAGTAACTCACAATGATATTAAAGTTAATAATACTAAATATGTTAAAAATGTTACTAAATATGTTCTTTTACTAATATACCATATTGTCTATAGCAGCTGCTGCGTCTTCTGCCATCTCAAATTCAATAAATGCAAATCCTCTATGTTTTTCAGATTCATAGTCTAATGGGATCTGAACGTCAACAATTTCTCCAAAGGGTATAAATGCTGCATGTAACACCTTCTCATCAACTTCTTCAGCCAAACCACCTAAAGAATAAAAGATAAAATTAAATTGTCGATGAAAACTTGTAGAAGGCTTTATATATCTTGACATTAATTTTAGAAACATTTCAAGTTATTTTCAAATACAAAGAAGAAATGATGTTAACCTCTATATACATTTAAAATTAGAGTTTATGTTTTCAAAAAAGATAAACAATTAAAGATTTTAATTATTAATTTATACGTGCCTACATAAATAGTCCGCTTCGTGTTACTGCTCATGATTCTTTTTGATGTTTCCTTCCCTCTTTCAATATATGGCTCTGGGCTTATGGGAGTAGGCTGGAGTAGGCCCCTACACCATTCTTCTCAATAAAAGAGGTAAAAGAAAAATAGGGACAACGCGTACGTTGTCCCCTTTTTGATGTTTCATATCAGAAAGAAGCCTGAGAGCGACTATTGAACCGAATTTCAAGAGACGCTTTCCTCGACGCGCCCTCTGAGAAAGTAAATACAAACTACGTCCGTCTCGATGGTAACGATGAAACGTGCACGGTTCTTATTCACTCTACTTCTTTAAGAGGATCCTGGAGTCGTCTGTTTTACCGACACATTGATTCAATGGCTGCGTTCAGTAGAACAAAATGATCAGTGAGCGCTTAGTGATTATTGTCTATCACTAACCAGAGAGTGGCGTTGGAGCGGCAACCCACACGCCCAGAGCCATCTATTGAATTGAATTGAATTATTGTCTATGATTGAAGCATTCTTTTAGATTCTTCATAGACCCAGAAGTATTTACCAATCAGGAGCGAGAATCACTAAGCGCTCACTGATCACTTTGTTCTGCTGAACGCAGCTAATCTTCTACACTATTCTTTTTATTAGCTATACAGATTGAAAAATCCTTTTGTACAGCGAAAGTACTTATAATAACGAAGTCTGGAAAGCAGAGTTTTATATAAAATTCAATGAAAAATTAAAAAATTATAATTTCGTTATCATGTTCTGCATCAGCTCGTAACTTTACTTATTAATTATAACAGTTCTGCAGTTTGTCCGTGCAAAAGTTTTTGCTTCCATACTAGCCATAATATGAAAAAATAATACTAAAGTAACAGAAATGAACTCAGAAATCAGTGTAAAAGAATAGTATTTGAGAAAAAATGGCTTGGATATGTGTGTGTGCGGAATATTTTTGCTACACTTTGGGGTAAAACAGAACAGTAGATTAGTTCCGCTCAGCTACTTATTGATTACTGAAAATTACTATTTATTGATTACTGAAAATAAAGAAAATTATTCTGTCGAAGCATCGGATATTTGTTAGCTTTATGTTAATTAAAGAGAAATGTGTACGATTAGAAAATATGTTAGCAACTAATCTTATTGATCGGCTCGCGAGCGACGACATTTTTTGTCCTTCGTTTGACGTTTGACGAATTTTCCGGGAATAAGAAGTCGGAATTTCGCGCTCGGTATTCACGATCCGTCATCATCTGACTAGTAATCATAGACACTTTATGAATCTGCAATTACTCTCGTCAATCTCTGTCTTTCTATCTATTTATTGCGTTGTTGTATATGTTACGGTTAAAGTGATAAATCCAGTTACTATGCATAATAACCAACAGCTTTGGTTAATTTGATAAATTATTCATATTTTTGTAATTAACCGTTTTTGTAAATACACCGTATATATATAGAGAGAATTTACAAGTACATTTTATTATAATAAAAATGCTGTCATATATGTATTAAACAAGTTTCAGTTCAATATAGTTTTTGGTGCAGCTGCGCCAAGATTCTTTGTATTAAATACTTTTTATTGCATTGTTATAATAATTAATTTGTTACAATAACCATATAACTCAGTGTTCTAATAAATAATGATAAATTTTACTTGTAAAAATTTATGTTATGAACATTTTTTGTAGCTAGGTTTTCTTGAATATTTTGAATAACATAACCTTTAAAAAGATATTTTTTTTTAATATTGGATACTATTAACAAACGTATTAAATTTTTATAACACGATATAATTTTTACTTTTAAAAGTTTATGTACATATATATCTTACAAAAAAAATTTGATAAGTTTTACTTATAAAAACTTATGTTATGTACATAATATTTAAAAAGATATTTTTTTTAATATTGGACACTATTAATACTATCACTATTAATACTATCACTATTAATACTATCGATAACAAACGTGTTAAATTTTTATAACACGATATAATTTTTACTTTAAAAGTTTATGTACATATATTATAAAAACTTATGTACATAATATATATCTTAAAAAAGAAAATAATTTGAATTTAAGATTTCTAAAAATATTAAGTTAAGTATACAATAATCATATATATATATGTTAGGTTTCTCAGTTGGCGCTATTGTTTTAATATATCACTTCTTTTGTACAGTAGAAAAGTGTTGCAGAGTTTTATTATAGTTATAAGTCCTACTTGTAAAAACTTATGTACACATATATACAATAAAAAAAATTATTTGAGTTTGATACTTCTAAAAATAACACAATACGTGTTGCGCTTGTATTTGGCGCCTTTTTTTACCTTTTTGTTTAAAAAGGTAAGTTTTATATAATATTAAATATACATACGTTTCACGTATAACGTGATTGACTTGGAGTACTCCGTACCCACGGTGTTATTAATAGCGACGCATTCATACTTTCCTTGATCTGTTACATCAGATTCGATAATCTGCAAGGCACCTGAAACATAAAATGTGATATTCTCGAATAGCGTTCCTCTCAGGATTTTCTTGTCCAAAGAAAGATCAATGATGCGATCGCAGATCTCGTATGTCATGTCAATAGAGGCAGTTTGAATTCGGCGTAATATGATTCTTAGAACAGACGTAAATAAGTATTGTGAAGTTTGAAGCGAGTCTCTCACAGGCATGCTTTGAAAACACGAGTTGTTTTCATTTTCAGCTAACGGACGACGCAGGCATCAATACTGATCGGCAAGGTCAGCGACTGGTGGGGGGTAACCGTGCCTACCCGAATGTTTGTTTTCGTACGCTTATGTATAACTCCGTGATTGCGGAAAGGACATTGCGCCTCGGGCCGACGAACGACGCGCATACCGCGACGCAGTACGAGCAGAGAGAAACCCGAGAGCGGGCATGGCTGCATTTACAGCGTTATAGGAAAGTTGGCTGATTCGCAGCGCCAACTGGGTCCATTTTTCATGGACATGAACTACTAAGCCAATGTCCACGATTTGTTGGTACTATTCCGTGCTATGTCCATAATTATTTGGTTCTGTTCTGTGCTATGTTCACGAGCGAGCTAGATTAGTTAGATCAGAGCTCGACAAAATGTGCACCCGACGGCCGATTTTCGACTATCTCCGCCCACCGCTATTCCCTTTACCTCGTCGCTCCGCGCGCTGCCAATAAGCCGCTCGAGCCTCAGGAGCGTGTTTCCAATAGTTTTCACGTCACCCATGAGGTACTATTGTTGACGCGTTTTTCTTTAAGTGGTATCCCCAGTAGGCCTCTTCATTTTTCAAAAATGAAGTTTATAAAAAATGAGAAGTGTTCTTCTTTAAGCGACGATTCCTTACCACGACTTATGCGGCTCGCTACATGCAATATCCAAATTGACGTTTCCACTCTTACCAATAAAAGATGCCGAAAATCGAATTGAATATTCTTCATTTAACATATTTTATTTCGCTTCTGTTCAATTAGTTACGGGTTGTTACAGTCATCAGTGGACTAGGCTTATTGGGGATACCACTTAAAAAAAAAACGCGTCAACAATAGTACTTCATAGGTGACGTGAAGCTATTGGAAACACGCTCCTGAGACTCGAGCGGCTTGTGGGCAGCGCGCGGAACGGCGAGGTAAAGGGAATAGCGATGGGCGGAGAGAGTCGAAAATCGGTCGTCGCGTGCACATTTTGCCGAGCTCTGAGTTAGATAAAAACGAAGAATCGGTCTTTGTCTCACCACCAGCGAAAAAACAATCGCGACGAAGCGAGCCAGCAGCGATGTTATCGTAAGGCAGACGCCGCCGTCTCCCCTTTCACCCCCTTATTTTCCTTTCCACATTGTTTTATATTCATAATTCGGGAAGAAAATTTCGAGAATTCGGACGATTTCTAGCAATGACGCGACAGAGATAACACGTGGCCACATTAATTTGTCATGACTTTTATATTACTTATAATTACATAAACGCCCATATATGCAAATTATAGATAATTATTGCGCGTATGTTTTAATATTGTACAATATGGTATATAATAACAACTTCATTTCTTGCAGTAATTTTTTTAAGATCTTCGTTGAGGTCGTGAATTAATTTTTTCTTCGTCAATCAGTTTTCTGCAAAAATTGAGATTTTTAAATAAAATATCAAACGTTTCTCTTCTCTTCTCTCCGAAGAGTTAATTAAAAAATATGTACTCCACAGAGTCAACTAACAAATGTGTAGTCAGAAGAGTCAATTTAAAAGTGTACTCCGAAAAGTCAATTTAATAGCGTATTCCGAAGAGTCAATTTTAAAGCGTACTCTGAAAAATCAAATTAATATTGTAATCCGAAAAGTCAATTTATAATAGAATATTTACTTCGATGATTCTGCTAAAGAAAAAACATTTATTTATTATTATATTCAGAGAATAATATTTAATTTATTATTTATACTTATCTTACTTATGCTTACCCTACATATGCTTCTTTGAATGAAAAATTTAATTTGTTGACTGATTCAGATTCAGATTTGTTAAAATATCTCTTATGCGGAACTCTTGAACAGGTAGGTAGTAAAATAATTTTTCTTCTTTACGAATTTTATAAACTTTTCACGAACATAAAAATTGAAAGATTCTCAGAGGACAAATAACTTTTCTTGAACATTTAAACCAAAGGAAAATCTTTTCCCATTAATAAAGAATGAATAATTAATATCTCACACAAGAGGAATCTTCATCCTTGAAATCACCGTGCGATTTTGCTTTTAGAAAAGTATAATATTGATGTAATAATAACAAATGCTATCCAAAAACGGTGCAAATCTTAAACGTTTTTGAAAAATGTAGTTTGAAGTTTAGTCTTTTCTGTTAATGTCGTTATAGCAGAAGAATTACCAATTTGCTTCAGTAGCGCAGTGGATCAGGCTTTGTAATATGAACGTAGAGGTTATTCAAGTGTGTTATTTTTGCTATCACAGGGAAAACTATGTAGAATGTATAATAATACGCAGACAAATTCTTTACATAATCATACTTATTTCTTTTAGCATGAATAAAAATGATCAATGCTAACGTGATAAGTGTATATCGCAATTGTACGTGTACACATACACACACACGTACACACGTATACCAATGATGTCAAAATCGAACAATTCGTGAAAATTTTTTATTGATCGCAATTGTACGCAAAGACGAAAGAGAAGTACACGGGTCTCCGTGGGTATC